GAAGCTTTCCCTGACTCCTCCAGATAAGGTACACACCCGTGCCCCATCTCTATGTTTTATGTTCTTTACGGCACTGGCGAGTATCTACACTTGTCTAATTCATGTACTTTTGTCCCCTTGTTTATTTTCTGGCTCCTGACGGGAGAACAGACACCTTGTCAGTGGTCCTTATTCATGGGCCTCTGGCAACAGACCCCTGGCACATAGTAGGATTTTGAGAATTTTCTCTTTCTCTAGAGGTTGTAGCACTGTTGGCAGAATTAATCTATAGAACCATGTAGAAAACGCAGTGAATACTTAATCACTGGCAGTCCCTATTCCTTGCATGGGTCGAGAGAACGGCTGGCTCCAAAGTGAAGAAAGACAATCTGGAAGGAAAGCAAGGAAGGGGACAGGGGTCTGAGGCTAAGTCAGTTGGGTTTCTGAGGTTCGTTCTTTGCCGGGACACAGTGGATGCTTCACAGGGGGTGGAGTCTCAGATTTTCCTTTTAGGATAGAAGTTTTAGGCAAAAGAGGTTTTGAAAGTAAGTGGACAGGCGTGATTCTGAGGCAAATCATCTGGAGAATTAGTTCACAGGAGTCTTATGAATGCTTTATAAAAATTAAGGAGGGGGAAGACCAAGCACCATCATAGATTTAGAAGAAAAAGCCCAGCCCAGTGGTGCCTGGGTGGCTCAGTCACTTAAGCGTCTGCCTTCAGCTCAGGTCATGATCCCAGAGTCCTGGGATCGAGCCCCGCATTGGGCTCCCTGCTCAGTGGGAAGTTTGTTTCTCCCTCTGCTCCCCCATCCCTACCCCCACCTCATGCTTGTGCGCTCTCTCTCTCTGAAATAAATAAATAAAATCTTAAAAAAAAAAGGAAAGAAAAAGCCTGGCCCAGCTGCTTCGGGTTTTAGGCTGCAAAGAAGGCTCCTTCCAGGGATGTAATTATTATATTAGAATGGATAATACATTACATTATAACATTATAATATTACATATTATAATCACTATATTGTCATTATTATATTATAATATTAATGAGCAGAGATGGGGGATCCAAATCTACCTGTTCCCCATCCTATCGTATGTGCGATGGGGTTCCCAGGAAATCTGTGTATGAAGAAAGGATTTTGATTTGAAAACCTAATTCTTGTCCACCCCCTGCATTTTACATGTGAGATGATGGAGGCTCCAAGGACTAAACAGAAGAGTTGAGATGAGTACCGTGTCCTGAATGCTGACGGCATCTTTCCACTGCCCCATACTCAGAAGAGATTGAGCCTGGATTTCACAAACACTTACTCTAGGCCTAACATCCCAGGGGCTCCAGGGTAAGGGAGCTGGACTCCAGACTCTTGGATGATTCATGACACCAAAAAAGGTTTCAGTCAGGAAGCACGTGCTTAATGACCTCTGGATATACTGCTGTCCAGCTGCCTTGAACGGTTCCTATAGTGCGTGCCCCCTGAGAGTGGCTGGGCCGGACCCTTCCCCATCCTCTGCTCTTAGGATGACCATCTTAGATGCATCCGTCCTAGGGCATGAGGCCCTAACGAAGGTGGCAGACAGGCAGTCCGGTAGAAGCACTATCTAAGAATCCTGGGCTTCTGGCTTTACCTTTAGGAGACCCTGATGCTGGAAACAGAAAATTCTCCAGCTTTAAGCACCAAAGCTTCTAAGAGATGGGCTGGGCTACCAAAGTTACAGAGAAGCTCCACAAAACTGAGGCATGGGATTGACTTTGGCATTTTATTGTATATTCAAAATTCAGTTATTAGTTTTGAGACTTAAGATTTCCGTCAATATATTATTTACATAAACATGTACAGAATGCATAAATAGAAACAGATGTGTAATTTATCAATATTTGTCAATAAACAGAATTTATTTATTACAAAAACAAGTCTGTGTTGGTTCCTGTTTTTCCCAGAATGCATTCCTGGGAACTGCATTAAAAGCAGGTCATCATAAAGCCAAGGGTATTTTCCATAGAGACAAATTAGAATGAGGGATCCCAGTACCTTCAAAGCTTAAGCCTCAAATAAATCATAGGTATAACTAATAATTTCATAAAACCAAAGATACAACCATCATTAAAATTTGCAATCCTTTGAAATTATATAATTAAGTTCCATGTTCTATATAACAGGCACACATGTACATTACATGTTGATTACACAGGACACTCAGTGCATTGTAAACAGTAAGAGTGACCCCATTCTAATTCTACTTCACTGAAAATGTAAACAAAATTTAGGTGGTGACTAAATAGCATTAAAGCATAATTAACAATAATTTACACTGCCTATCAGATTAGAAAAAAATTTTTAAATTATCTGATTCAATAGCTCAGTAGATTCTTTATGTAACAGCCTTGTCAGCTGCTCGTTCATAATTAATTCATGTTTGAGTTTTTTATTTTCACAGAATATATATATATATATATATATATATATATATATATATATAATTTACAGAGTAGGGATAATTTCGAAGACCCAGGTCTTCTTTCTCCAAATAAATGTTTTCATGGCAAAAAGGCATTTGAATTTTTGTCATGTGACTTCAAAATTTCATGAAAGCGAGGCTCATTCTTACCAAAATTAGCTTGTGGTCACCATCTCCCTCCACCGACTCCTTTAAGAACAATATCCCATCAAATGAGAATGTTTCTGCTAAATAAATTTGCAGTGAGGGTGTATGCACTAACCAAATGAGGAGGGGTGAATTTGGAAGAAAGAACCCCTAAAAGGTGCTCCCTTGGTATTGTTTTTCAACATGGGGAGCTCTTTCTCTAAATTGGTTCACATCTTGGTGAGGAAATTCTTCTTCCTTGGGAGCCCAGGAGCATCCAAAGTAATCCAAAGTAATAATAAAAATACAAAATGGCATTTTAGGATTTACAGGATGTTTTCACAAAAATTACCTTATTTATCTCCACAACAACTTTGCGAAGTAGGCAAGAGGGATTCTTTCAGAGGCCAGAGAGGTTGAGGGTCCCACAGCGAGTCAGCAATGATTCACCGCCCATAGCACTTCTCTACCACGTCCATCTCTCCCTCCTGCTCACAGAGGTAATGGGTAGCATGTAAAGCGGAGCAGAGAGTTTGGGGGTCATCGCCAGGTTCAGGGCCTTGGGACTCAGAGCTTTGCTGCTCCCTCTTTTGTATTGAGAAAGGACCATCATCAAGACCGTGGTTGCCCCCTAAGCCTAAATGTAGTCGGCAGAGAACAGGGACTTGAAAAAGCGGAGGAGATTGGTCCGGCCAGAGTCAAGGTGCCAATTAGGACTCACATAAACTGTCTTCATCCTGGATGAGACTAGATTCCCAGTTCAATCTGATCTCCACTGACGGGCAAGAGTTCCAGCCTGGACAGGGAACATTTCAGCGTCGTGCAGTATTTCTCAACAGCAGTCAGGAGTACTAAATAACATTTCTCTTTAGAGGCTTTTTCCCTTCCCTAAGGCATGACTTTCTCCCCAATAAAAGTAAGTCTTTACAGGACAGAGGTGGGGTTTTTTTTGTTTTTTTGTTTTTTTTTTTTTGCATTTAGATGGTGTGGGGGCAATCTTTTCTTCCTTATTCCAGTCTCTTTCCTATCCGGTTCAATTCCAGAACTAAAGTCAACATCAGTGGAAATGGTAACTGGCATCTCTTAAGCAGCAGGAACAATGAGTATGATAAAGTCCTGAGATGCTATCAAATTACAGCCAAGATCACTGTTAGAACCTCACATGGCTTCGGAACACGGCAGTGTTTATTTCCCTGGGACTTTTACTCTGGGGCAGTTGGTAAGAGCCAAAGACTCAGCTTTGAATAAAAGACATCCGGGTTAATCTGAAGGGCAAAGTTGGCAAGTTCAAGAGTCTAGAAGGCCCAAAGGAGGAGGGTGGTTCCTTTGAAACAAAGTCAAAAGGCAGGCAAGCCATGGCTTTTTGAGGTAGCTGAGGGATGTAGCAGCATCCTTGGTCCTAGAAACAGAAAGGGATCTTGGAGATCCCCGAGTCCGAACTTCAGTTCACAGATGTAGAAAGTGAGGTCCAGGAATGGAAGGGCAGGGGCCAAGATCCCACAGCATGTTAGGAGCAGAGCCAGGGCTGGAACTGGGGTCCCTGACTTCAAGTCAAGCACTGGTTTCCCACCCCAGCACTGCTTCGTCCGGCCCTCCTCCACCTGCAGTGAGGGTCAAGTCTCCCCAGTGTGAGCTGCCAACAGTTCTCTCCTTTGGGAGCAACAAGGCCAGATTCAAGGCTTTTAAGCTGCTACTGTGGGCTTTGCCACAAGTTCAAGGGAAAGATTCCGAAGTCTTTAATAAACACGATAACGTTGTTGGCCCTGCCCGAGGCTCTTTAGCAGAAGATGCCCGGTTCTAGTCCAAGAGGGAAGCAAACATCTCCGAGCAGCAGGGCCCAAGGCCCCGGCACTGGGGGGAAGCTGTCTTTGGCCAGCCTCCTAGGGTGCTGCAGAGACTGTTCTCCTCGGGTAGATCTCTGCTCCCATTTCTTCCACGGTAAATAAATGGAGCATGTCCTGAAGAGGACTGACACCGGCCTCAAGGAAGAGTGAGTGGGGGTCTGCAACTGACACGGTGGCTAGCCAGGAGGACACAGGTTTGGACCCAGGTGCCGGGAAGAAAGCGTATTAGTGTCGGGCCCAGAAGAGGACGGAGACGAGACAGCGAGCAGTTTGCACATGGCCGTATCAGGCATGAACAAGCAAGAAATGCGTGCTTTTGGAACACGGCTCTGACCAAGACAGGCGCCTGGAGGACGTGTTTGACAATGTCTGTGAGCAGACACAGCAAAGAAGGCGTATTTGGAGACATCTATGACTGAGGACACAATGAGCGATCATGTTTGGAACATGAGAGAGACAAACCAGGAACAGGAAGGGGACATATTGGGGACAACAGAGAGTGTGAGGCAAGGGCAAGACGCCAGGAAGAGGGAGTGCTGGAAAATGAAAAAAAAAAAAAAAAAATCCCTTTGCAGGGGATCTCTGGAGGAGAAACCCCCGGAACAAGGAGGCCTCCTGTCCCCTGAGTCCCTCCAGCGCCACCTGCTGGAGCCCCAGAGAAAATCCCCGGTGGGCGTGGCTGCCTGGCGGAAGGCGTGGCGGAGAGTGGCAGGAGCGGTCCCATACACGCAGCAGCTTAGAGCCTGCCCTCTCTCGGAGGGATGGCTGTCTTCTGAGTCACTGCCCCACGGCCTAAGGGTCACTGGACTGAGCAGCCACCAAGGAAGAAGTTGCTGGAGGGTGGCAGTGACTCTCCCATTGGCCACCACACTCCACCGCATCCCTGGAGAGGGGAGATCATAGCGCCTTAGATTTGGAACGGACCTCCCCGATGATCTCAGCAAAGGGCCCACCCGGTGCAGACGCGCCCCTCGTGCCATGCAGATGGGTGGTCGTTTAGACCCTACTTAGGAATCTCCAGGGACCCGCCAGGCCTTTATTATTTTTGAGCAACTTTAGTTATTAGAAGAACTTATTAATGTTCAGCCAAAACCTGCCTCCTATGATTTCAACCCAGAGGAACTTCTGTGCCCTCTGGGCCCACTCAACATTCTTCCCTCTGCTAATTACATCCTCCAAGTTTTCTCTTCTCCAGGCTACACATTCCCATTTTCTTTAATGGTTCATTATATATTGTGGTTTCCGGATTATTGCCCATAATGATCACTGTCCTCTGAAAACCATCCTTATTATGATTATCTCTTGAAACAAAGTACCTGGAAAGAGCACAAATCTACACAATGAGCCTGACAAGTATATATCATGTACATTTCGTCATCCGTTTGGTTTACCTCTATGAATGTGGTCAACACCAAATTCATTCCTGTTAATGGCAACATGTTCTTGGCTTACACTGAGTTTGTTGCCAGTCTGTATCTTTTTGACACAAACAGCTGTCCATTCCTGTGGTTCTTTATTACATTGGTGCAGCCTATTTTAATTTAATTTAATTTAATTTAATTTAATTTAATTTATTTATGCCAAAATACAGGCCATTACATTAATCTCAGATAAATTTTGTTTTACAGGTTTTAGTCAATTGAGATCATTCTAAGTTGTAACAACTGCTACATTCAAGATATGATTATTTAGCACCCATTCAAACTAGACGGGTTTCACAAGCACAAAGAAGATCAGATAATGTATTGCTACCTAGATCTTTCAGTTTGGTGTCATCTGCCTGTTAGGTCTTCAGGCTTCAGTCAAGATAAAAACAAACCAAACAACAACAAAAAAACCCCTTGCTTCGGACAAGGCTAAAACCAAGAATTGTTTTAGGCACAGACTGTCTTCCCAGCAAACAGCTATCATTCAGTGTGCCTGAGAATAAACCCACCCATGGAAGGCTTTATCCAGTGCCTTGCTGAAATGTCTCTGCCACGCAGTAAATCTGTCCTGATAATGAAATTAGTTGGCATGAATTGTTTTTTTTAATGAAACAACATTGACTCTTGCTCACAAATCATTTGTGTAATATCTGTCTTAGAATTTTGGTAAGGTCTATTTCAAGCTATGAGTCTATAGTTTCTGGAGTCTAGCTTTAGTCTTTTGTAAGAACTGGGGCAATATTTACTGGTCTCCAGGCTGCCCTCATTTCCCCCGCCCTCGAAAGAATACCAGTCAGAGATCTTATCAACCAGTTCCTTTAATCCCCCGAGAGAATACATCTTGGCTCAGAGACAGTTAAATACTTTTCATGACTCTTGGACAGCAACCTTCTCCCTGTAATATTCTCATCTTTCCAGTTGGGAGACTATTCTTATTGCAATAGAACATGCAAGATTTCTTCCCTAAATATTGAGATCTAACTATTTCTGGGTTTGCTACTTGCTCTGAACATAGCTTTTGATTCATCCTTGGCTATATATTCCTTCTTCCATGCTATTTTCAAGTATAAGCTCTCTAGATAACTCAAGATGCAGCCGCAAGTCTTTACATAGCTCTCCCCATTTTTATGCCTCAATCATTGAACATATCTATTAAAAGGAAAAAAATAAAGAACAGAAAGGAAGGAAGGAAAGAAAGAAGGAAGGAAGGATTTCTCATTTCCCATTGGCCAAATTTCCTTTATCATACTTACTATTACCATTATTAACAGTAATAAAAACAAGCCAGGCACTACGCTGTGTTATATGCATTAATCTGTGAATTTTACATCCATTTAACAGACAAGGAAACTGAGTTTTAGAGAGTTTAAATAATTTGCCCAAGTTTCCTCAGTTAAAAATTAGTAGGATCAGACCTCACATTTCGGTCATTTTTGATACCAAAGTCTATGCTCTTTTTTTTTTTTTTAAGATTTTATTTATTCATTTGAGAGAGAATGAGAGACAGAGAGCACGAGAGGGAAGAGAGTCAGAGGGAGAAGCAGACCCCCTG